CAGCTCCGGTCAGCGGCTCCAGTCCAGACCATGACGTCAGCCCCTCTCCAGGTTCGGGGTCTCCCACACCAGGGTCCAGACAGGGCCTGGCGTATCGTGGGAGGAAGGAGAGGGGAAGCAGCGCGCCGAGGTCCAGACCAGACCAGACCAGGGGCGCAACAGGGAGGCGGAGAGTGAGAGGTCGTCACGACCCGAGCCGGATCCGCCTCCGGGGCGGAATGCCCACCCGGCCCCTACCCTGTTATGTTTATCTTGTGCGGTCGGAGTCCGCACCTTTGGGGTGGGGTACTGTCACGCCCTGACTCAGGGGACGCTTATATGTTGAGTCAGGGTGTGTATATTCCTTGTTGTGCGTTTTCTATGTTTGTGATCTAGTATGTATAGTTCTATGTTGGCCGGTGTGGTTCCCAATCAGAGGCAGCTGTCGCTCGTGGTCTCTGATTGGGGCCCATACTTAGGCAGCCTATTGGCACTGTCTAGTTGTGGGATCTTGTTCCGTGTAAGGTATGTTGTGTGTTCTACCTTGGACTTCACGTTTCGTTTATTGTTTTGTCGTGTGTTTATTTAGTTTAATAAACATGTACGTATATCACGCTGCGCCTTGGTCTGACCCGTCATTCAACGAACGTGACAAACCATCAATGTTGCAATGGTAAAATGTTTGATATCATTTTCGCCTGATACGATCACTTTGCCTGCTTTTAATCCTTGCCTAATATGTTGGTATGCATAACCTTTCTTTAACCAATTCTGATAGTTGTTAAAAGCAGAATTTTTATAATATTACCGTTATATCACACTCGTCACGCTTGTCACTCCCATTTAACAACTCTAAATTGCTTTGGCACAGTAGGCATCAAGTCACTTGCCGATAATGTTGCATAAAACGTTTGACAGGTCTATAATTTTCATCGACCACAATGAAAGTTAACATACGCCCTAGATGGCTTCAACTGCCCAACTTATAGGCATGCCCAATTTAGGCATATTTTTTTAACAATGTGATATTGTGCTCCAAAAGGATAACTTGAAATAACATGATGTGGGTTAATTCAATAATAAAAATAAAAATATGTGATTATTGATTAGCCTAGCTAGTGGTTAGAAGTATTTAGGCATATCATGTGAAATAGGCCTCGTGAAATGATTGTCAAAAGTGCAAAACATTATTTTAACAACTCCAAAGCAATTGCATGTGGTGCAAAACTCACTGCCTTTCTCTATTATCAAGACCCCTCCTGGTAACTCTTAACTGGTTTGGACAGTTCATGAGGTCTCCCAAATATCTGTTGACTAGGTGGGACTCTTATGACTAAAGAGGCTTCATGCATAGCTTTTATTTTTACCCATAACAGTAGGAGTAAAATGTTTCTATTCTCAGCACCAATTTTCTACTCTAAGATGCTTTGTCTATATGGGCCCAGGTCTGAGACTTTGATTTGATTCATTAGGATCCCCATTAGCCGACGCCAATGGCGACAGCTAGTCTTACTGGAGTCCGACAAATAACGAGGGCCCCAAGGCCCCGAGGGCCTAACATCCCCATACTGGCTCCTCTGTGAGGTCACGAAGAAAGTCCCCGCTGTAATGCTGCCCCTGGTAACACTGGCTCATTCAACTCTGGATTGTACAAACGGGGATTCTTGGGATCTTAAATCACTGATCACTGTTACTTTAGAGATGCACTTGACATCAAAGCTTTCTGGAATGTAGTAAAAAGGGGATATTATGATCGGGTATTTTGTCCTATGAGCTAATGAGAATTTCTGAATGTAAAATGCCTGCCTTAAATTGCTATGCTATTCTGCTTATTATGTTTAAAGATTTGATTATAATGGGGAAAATAAACAGTATTTTCAAGGAGCAGAGGTCAACACTATTTGATCACAGTAAACCAGGACCAGATCCCGTATGAAATATACAGTAGTACTTATACAAATGTATAGTATTTAGGTACTGTATAAAGTACTAAATAAGTATAATGGACAGTGAAAGAAAAGAGTCGACAAAGAAAGCAGTGGTCTTGGTCCAGTTTTAGAGCTTTAATCGATAACAGTTACGCCAGTGTTACAGTCAACACACCAACAGGCTGAGGGTAGTAAATGCCAATACAAGTTTCCCACTACTCTAATACTTCATACAGTAGAATAAATTATGCCATGGTAATATACACACATGCTGAACAGAAATAGAATAAAGCAAGAGTAAAAAAAACTACAGGTAAGCGGGGGCTGGGGGGGGGGGGGGGGGGGGGGGGGGGGTGGGGGCAACTGGTGTAGCGGGGGAGCAGGACGAGGCCAAGCATATGTACCCCAGGTCAGGGATATATTTTTTTTCTGTTTTCTTTTCGTAGAAAATACACAAATTGGAAGGGTTGTGGCGAGCGCTGATTGGCACTGCATCCGTATAGTCTGTGGGTTTCCTGAAGATACTGATTGGACTGGTTTGGATGAGAGGGTGTGATACTTCAGGATTTTGGCAATGATCTACTTCCCAGGAGTCAGATTAACTCGTGGATACCATTTTTATGTCTCTGCGTGTGGTTTGAAGGAAGTTGCTAACTAGCGCAAGTGCAATTGCTAAATAACATTAGTGCAATGACTGGAAGTCTATGGGTATCTGCTAGCATGCTAGCAGATACCCATACCCATAGACTTCCAGTCATTGTGCTCACACTAGTTAGCATTGGCTCACAAAACTACCTCTAACTTCCTTCATATTGGACACAGAAACATAAAAATGGTATCCACAATTTCATCTGACTCTGGGGAAGTAAACACAAATTATTGCCAAAATCTCAAAGTATCCCTTTAAGGTCCTGGAAAGTCAGGTAATTCAGGTATGTGTGTGTCCAAAATGAGAATGTGAGGCCATGTTACCCCACAGCAAGTTCAACGGTCAGAGTCCACGCCTCATGTTATGCCACAGGAAGAGATAGGTAAGTGGGGGAAAGTAAGATGTCGTCTGTGAGGGCTGACAGGAACAATCCATTGGTCCCAACAGGAGGGGAATGTCTGTTAAAATGGAAGAAGAATCAACTTCCAATAGGAATGTAATCGTGAATAATGACTTTCTTCTCTCAGGTCTGAGTTCCAATTCAATAGTTCTGCTCTGATACACTTTTTCATGTGAAAATGTTTCACCTGTTCTCTTGATCAGTGGATATTGGATAATAATCATATTTTCTAGTTTTAAAAATGTGTGAATTGAGTGGTATTGTTCATTTTCATCAATCATTTTTAAGAGCAAAAGCTAAAATACAATCTTTTTTTTCTTCTTTTTTTTTTTTTACATCGATACAACATAGTAAAAGGAGCAAATGAAACAAACAAATATTCAGGAATGTAACACAAATATACATTGTAAGACTTCAAGAGATGCAGCATTCACTCAACCATCATCCCCATCAACCTCATCATCATCGTTATGTTTTAGTACAAACCATATGTTTTCATATAAACAACACATACACAATCATCAGATTGTGAATGTAATATTCACTGGGTTTTTTTTTACTTAACCAAAATACGGTTGGATCCAATACGCTCAGATTCTACAGTTTTCATATTTACGTTTTATGGACTTTGTTATTTTACATCTGTTATTTATAGGGGGCTATTTCATATTCTATCAGACTGATGTGAATACTACACCTTTTAAGAGCTTAGAGTCATTTCCTGTGATGCATAATATATGAGATACAGTTAAGAAAACAGATTGTATGGCACAAATATTCAATTAAAATTGTCATATCTTGGAATGGTTTTCAACGAAATAATGTAAAATAAAAAAATACAATAAAATTCCATAGTTCAAGTACTTTGTGATTTTGGAATACTGCACCACTCTTGTTTTAGAGAGAAATAATGCAAATATATTGGTCATAATTTTGTAAGACACACATACATTAAGTATGACACACTAAAACCGCCACTACCCATGAAAAGACCTCCAAACAACCTCGAAATGGCAATGGCAAGTAATGATTGACCTAGCGTTAGCTAAACACATGGATGTCCTTGAACATTGAACATTTTCTTCCCCTCAAAACAATCCTCTGGTCCCTGTGGCCAATCAATGCCTGGGGGAGGCTGGGTGAAGCGGACCTCTGAAATTGGGAGTTTCCCATTGGCCGATCATTCCCAGATGATTCTGAGGAGCTCGACGTCCCACAGAGTAGCCTTTAAGTTCCTTTAGAAATGTCGGGCACGAGATTAGAGTGGGAAGGTCAAATCCATGACATGAGAGACTACAGTAGCAAGCTGCTATCAGACCTTCTCAACCTCCTCCCTCTCTTTCTCTCTTTCTCCCCCTCCCTTCTTTCTTTGTAAGCTCCTCTAAATCATCTGTTCAAATAATACCAGCGAACACCAATTAAATCTTTGACAAAATGGAAAGTAAACAACATTGTAACAATAATTATAATTTTGAACAGCAATAAGAACAGCCACAGTTATAATGACAAATAGAATTATAACACCAGTAGCTAAGTACCGTAACAAATGAAATGGTCCAAAAACCTGGGAATGAAAGATAAGCTACACTTGTTTGGCCTGTATGTGCTAACGTTTGGTAGCGTCGGGCGGGCAGGCCATTTCGATACGGGCCCAAGACAGTAGGAGCTCATTCCCCTCTAGCTCTCCATAACCCTGTGAGGGTCTCTTGGTTGGGGATGAGAGGAGGAATTGTGGAATGGTGGAACAGTGGGAAGAGACTGTAGCTACAACTCCCCTCCCTCCTCCTCCTGGAATGGCTGCTTCAATTTCAGTCCATTTCTCTCCTCGAGACTACAAGTGCTTTCATCTTCTGTCTTGTCTCTCTCCCACAAACACACACAAAAACAGAAACACGTCTGCACACACACACACACACACACACACACTTGTGGCTCTCCCGTTGGTGATGGAGGTGGCGGTGAGAGATAGGGGTGAGAGAGAGGCGCTGGTGGCAGGTCAAGGGGCTAGTGTGGGGGAGACGAGGGACTGTAGAGTGCGACTCATCTAGTAGGCCTGTCCCGTCTCCACCTGGAGCAGTCCCAGGACAGCTGAGTGGTCTCCCAGCTTCATCCTCCGCTGGCTGGACAGGCTCACGTTCTTCGCCAGGTAGTCCACAGCAGCTGCAGATGGAAGCATAGGACAAATACACACATACTTAGCCTACTGTGTTTTATAGAGATTTTTACAAATACATTTGGCACATGTACTGTATTTAACAGCAACCTGGGGCTTTATTTGGTTCCCAGCCTGAAAATGGTTTCTCTACCCTTTGCTACCCGTTTGTGTGTACGTGCGTGTGTACGTGTGTGTTACAAAGACAAACATTTGTCTGTGTGTGCATGTGTGTCTCCCATTCAAAACACACATCCTGTTCAACACGGCCACGGTGTGACTAACTAACTAACCCAGCCCCCAGGGTTCGGCCAGTCATCCAACCAGGCATTGCTGTGACTGGACGGATCTCTGCTCTCCTGAATTGACTGACTGATTACTAGAATATAACTTTATCAGGAACACGTGTATACTCTCACCTGCGGGCAGACACTGGGTCATGGGGTCAAACCCCAACTACCTACATTCCCCCATGACAAACCAGGGGCTGGGTATTGATCTAGCTCACACCTCACACTGTTTCAATTTCCCCACACAAGCTAAAAAGACATTAGGAGAGGCTGATTGGTTGATGCAGAGGTGTAGCCAATAGGCCGCAGGACTGGGGGTCAGGGGGACAAACAGAGGACAGGAGAACTAGGAAGGAACAAGGGGGCAAGACTAAGGAAGCCCTCCATTTAACCCTTTATCCTAGTGATGGGCCACGTAGGGAACAACATTATGGAAGGTTCAGGTAGAAATAGATTGTGTGTAGCTCTGTCTTTCTGTCTTTTCTATGTGCACGTCTGCATTGATGTCTGTGTCTATCTGTCCGTCTATTATGTGCGTGCCTCAATTGGCTCTTTTGAGTTGTGTCCAATTCAAATGACTGATATTAGGAGGACATGTGTCATAGTCGAACAAAGGAGCCAACCGGAGGCCAGCTTATATAGCCTTAGACATGGCACAGACAGCCAGGCTGCTGAAGGTGGATATTAGCATGCTGGCATTAGGGCTTATTGGCACGTCTTTCCTTCTTTTTTATAAACATGTCTAGTCTGTCGCTCTTTTTGATGCTCCTCCCCGCTGCAGGTGATTTGAACCCCTTCTTTTGTAGAAAGAGGAGGAAGTGGAGGGTGTGTGACAGGAGAGGGGCACAGTGTGTGTGTGTGTGTGTGTGTGTGTGTGTGTGTGTGTGTGTGTGTGTGTGTCTTACTGTAGACTGTGCCAGACTGCTGTCAGGGGTGCTGACGGGGCTGACGGTAAGTAGAGAAAGGAAGCTGTCAGGAGTAGAGGTGTAACGGTAGGAGAGGCACACCTGTGGGCGGGGAGGACGTCCGCCGACCTGTCAGTCACCCTGACGGCTGGGGAGGGGGATGTGTGTGTGTGTGTGTGTGTGTGTGCATGCACGTGTGTTTGTGTATGTGTGTGTGTGTGTGTGTGTGTGTGTGTGTGTGTGTGTGTGTGTGTGTGTGTGGAGCGGGGGGAGACATACAGTGCCGTGAAAAAGTATTTGCCCCCTTTCTGATTTTCTCTATTTTTGCATATTTTTGATACTGAATGTTATCAGATCTTCAACCTAAACCTAATATTAGATCAAGGGAACCTGAGTTTACAAATAACACAAAAATTGTATACTCATTTTATTTATTTAATTAACAAAGTTATGCAACACCCGATTCCCCTTAGTAAAAAAGTAATTGCCCCCTTACACTCAATAACTGGTTGTGCCACCTTTAGCTGCAATGACTGCAACCAAATGCTTCCTGTAGTTGTTGATCAGTCTCTCATGTCGCTGTGGAGGAATATTCGCCCACTCTTCCATGTAGAACATCCAGGTCCTGAGGCAGTAAAGCATCCCCAAACCATCACAATACCACCACCATGCTTGACCGTTGGTATGCGGTTCTTACCATGGAATGTACTGTTTGGTTTTCATACAGCAAGACAATGATCCAAAACACACAATCAAGTCTACATGAAAATGGCTAAAAAGCAACAATTTGAAGTTTTGGAATGGCCTAGTCAAAGTCCAGACCTAATCCCAATTGAGGTGTTGTGGCAGGACTTGAAACGAGCAGTTCATGCTTGAAAACCCACAGATGTTGCTGTTACAGTAGTTCTGCATGGAAGAGTGGGTGAAAATTCCTCCACAGCGACATTAGAGACTGATCAACAACTACAGGAAGCATTTGGTTGCAGTCATTGCAGCTAAATGTGGCACAACCAGTTATTGAATGTAAGGGGGCAATTACTTTTTCACACAGGGGAATTGGGTGTTGCATAACTTTGTTAGTTAAATAAATAAATTGTATCAATTGATTGTGTTTTTTGTAAGCTCAGGTTCCCTTTATCTAATATTAGGCTTTGTTTGAAGATCTGATAACATTCAGTATCAAAAATATGAACAAAAATTGAGAAAATCAGAAAGGGGGCAAATACTTTTTCACGGCACTGTATAACTCCACACCCTCGAAGGGAAGCTATTTTCTCCTGTCACCCCAAGCTATACATCTTAAATAAAACCCAGTCAAACCACACACACTCCAAACCTCTTCCATTAGATGGGTGTGTACCCACAGAGGCGTACACAAACACACACACACATACATACATACACACCTAGCCATTTTAATGGCACAAGACTAAAGCTGTCAAGCACTTCATGTCTTGCGCTACAACAGAAGAGGTGATGGTGTCTCTCAAATTACATATATCCTAAAGCCCTGTATGTCGTTACCCCTAGTAACCCACTACTTACTCTGTCCGTATTGGCTGTACTGGTAGCCTGCGGTAACAGGGTCCACGCTGTAGCTGGTGGTGCTGTAGGTGGGTGGGCAGTAGGACTGGGAGGAGGCCATGCTGTCCACCGTCTTGATGGACTGGTCTGAGGAGCGCTGGCTGCAGCTGGCCGAGATGGAGTTGGAGGACTCCAGGCTGCCGTGGAGGGGCGAGATGGAGAAGTCATGCTGGGACTGGGAGGGCACGCCGCTGGGGTTACTCAGGATGCTCATCACCTGGTGGGATGGAGGGAAGGAGGGGGGAAGGGGAGAGGAGAAGCTCAGTCAGTGTGCTGTGGATCAATGGTACAGTATATATAGGCAAAGGGTTCAACTATTGCATAACAAACTTGACAAAATATAGGGAGTTGCTCAGTCTATAATAGTGGGAGTTATTAAGTGGATGACCGAACTAATGTTGAGGCAAGCAGTGTTCCTTTTGACACTAGCAAGAGGAGGGTGGGCAGAGAAAGAGATGTAGAGATAAAGATAAAGATGGGGGGTTCTCTTGGCAGAGGCAGACACCTCTCGTCCCGGGGCCTGCTCCACAACAAGCGCTTGGGGAGCCCTCCTAATCTGTAGTAGCCCCTGCAGCTCTCCCAGAGCAGCTCTGTCTCCCAGAGCTCATGAATGATTCACACTGTTTAAATAAGATCCTAAGGAGTCTCCATTAGATGCCTCTGGAGACTACAGCAGACAGACACAGCAGCTATGTCTTCCTTCAGCTTTGATCGGCACAGATAACACACTGTAGGTGATGACATGCCAAACTGCCTGGTTTGGTGTCATGAAAATACGGGCTGCGTCTGAAATAGCACCCTATAAAAGTAGTGTAGTATATAAGGAATATGGTGTCATTCTGGACACAGCCATGGTGATCATCATAGCGATAGTAAGAATGTAAGGGCCAGCTGAGAGAAACTACCTGTTTTTTATGGATTATTAAACACTCTGGTGTAATAAGAATGGTTCTACTGAACTGTACAAACAAGTGTATTCGCGATCAGAATATTTGTTTTCAATATGCAAAACATGATGAGGGGTAGAACACACACACACACACACACACACACACATATATAACAACCCAGCTGTTTGAACTTGACATTAGAGTATGTAGACAAGCTAAGATAGGAATGGAGATGCATTGGATAAAGGGAGGGAAAGGCACACAATACAAAATATACACACACACACACTCTGAGCCTCCTCTAGCTACAACATGAGGTTCCTGTTGTGTCTCTGCTACGCTCTAGTGCCCTTTGGCTCCCTTACACTCCTGCTGCTAAACCAATTAGCCAGTAATAGAGCGGGCCACACAATCAAGCCCACATGCAGCCTCAGCCCCAACCCAGAACCTGTCCGTTTTAAATAAGGTCCACGGGAGGTCTCTGAAGGAGGGTGAGGTCACCAGCTACTTTACCAAGACCAGGACAGACGCATCAGCCCTTCAAAGTGCACACACAGACACACACACTTGCATGCATTTACGTATGCATATGGTGTAGGGGAGAGGGGTACAAAACATAAGAGACAATGGTACACACCGTAGGTGTAGGGAACAAGGTTACACTACATGTAGGGTGTAGGGGACAATGGTAGACTACATACCCAGCTAGAACATTTGATTCATTGGAAGTTGTGGGAACGTATGGTTTTGGTTTCCCATTGGTTCTGGGAACGAAGCCATATGTTTCCTGACCGGTAAAACAGAACGTTTTTTAAACGTTCTGAGAAAAAGAAGTGAACATTCCACCTGTTCTGGGAATGTACATTTTTAGTTTGCAGGGAGGCTCTGTGAATGTTTTACTATGGTTCCCTGAAAGTTTTCCTGGGAGGCTTTATTAACGTTCTGAGAACAGAAATTATAGGTTATTTGAAGGTAATTAAATATCGTTCTGAGAACAATAAGACTTTTAATAATACTGCTAGCTTAGTTTGGGTTAACTGTTTTGAACTCCAAGCACGGATACGACACATGGAAATGTATTTGCTTAGGCATTAATCATGCAAACATGATAGAGGATAGAGAGAGTTTTGTTGATGCTGAGAAAGGAATGTATATGTTTTAAAATAACATTCTTAGAACGTTACTAATGTGTTCTTGTGGTTTTGATGGAAAGTTTTCTTAATGTTCTGAGAACATTACTTTAAATAGAACCATGAGGAAACCTGTAGAAAACGTTATGCTGAAGTACTGAAATTCCTATAGAAGAACGTTGTTTCTTAACATCCTCAGAACAATTTGAGAACATTACTTTAAATAGAACCATGAGGAAACCTGCAGAAAACATTATGCTGAAGTACTGAACTTCCCACCTAAGAAATATTGTTCTCAGAACGTTATGTGCTAGCTGGGTATCCTGCACCATTCCCAGAATGTTGTGGGAAGGTTGTATGTAAAATAACCATAGGACAACCACGCTCTCACCAAGCTCCAAGAAACATATGGTTCTCAGAACATTATGTGCTAGCTGAGTAGGGTGTAGGGAACATGAGTGTATGGGGACAGGGGACCCAGCGAGGGGGTCTAGGGAAGCAGCTGGAGGGCAGAGAGAGGGACTTAACAGGCGCTTCATTGCGGTTCCATTCTCCTCCACTCTTCTCTTATCTGTCCCTTAAATTAAACGCAATGCTATCAGCGCCATGCTAAATCTAGTGGTTCCAATTAGAATTCATGCCACATTCCGCGCACACTTCCTCAACAGTCATGACCCTCCTTTTAAAAAAGGGGTAATTCTTTTAATGGTGTTATACTGTATTTATAGGCTGATATACATTTTTTATCTCATAGTTTTTAGTCTTTCTGGAGAGAGGAAAAAGTCATTAATGATGGCCAAGTATGAAATTCTCAATTTTACATTTTTCATTTTCCAAGATGGACACATCATAACGAAACGTTAAGAACTCTTTTAGTAAAGTACCTGTAATCCTCAATCCTCATTCTTCTGCCCGACCCAGGACTCCATTTTCTCCTTAATTTGACGTAATTTCCCCCAGCGCCCGGTGAGGGCATTAGCGTGTGTCTGTGGAGCGTTTAAGGGGCTTGAGTCTCCCCAGGAAGGCGATTTAGAGCCCTACATGGGGTAGAGGCGACCCGGGAGGTGTCAAATCCTCCGTGTGGGGGACAAGGGGGATGAGGTAAGGGGGCCTGACACCTCTATTCAGGGCGGCGGGTAAGCGTTCTGTCACCATTGCGAGCCCATTGAGGCAGTGAAAGCCCAAATTATTCAAATCTTCATATTTAGCATAACCTTATTGACATCAATTAAATCGGCGAATCGTAGGGAATATTTGGAGAGCGCAGCGAGAGGTATAGCCAAAGCCTTTATGTGAGACTCATGGAGAGATGTGGTGGGATATTGTCGGCTCGGTCTCTCCAGCTTCTTCCAGTACTGCAGCCAATGGAAGGCTGTCTCTGTGATGTGAGTGACTGGCTCTCTCTACAGTTGTGGAAGCCACACAGTGTAGGGACACGTTCTGCTGTGAGCCTAGCCACACTGCCTGTGTTCATTCCATGTTTGTGTGTGTGTGTGAGACAGACAGACAGACAGAGATGGTTGGTGGAGGGGAGTGTAGGCACAGTGAGGTCCAGACCTCGGCCATGGGTTGCAGTTGTAATCTATTATTTCCTGCGCTTCCACTACCACCGTCACTAAGTAAAAATCAATATTCTTTCCACATGTTCGAGTGTAACCTCTTAGTATCTGATACGACTGCTGGGAGGAAGCAGAGAACGTTTGCCAATCAACCCGGCTGACAAACAATATCCCCAGGCTCTCTACTCTCCAACTCAAAGACCACGACCAGGGCAGAGAGAGGGAGAAGGGGAGAGAGAGATGAAGGGGAGAGAGAGGGAGAAGGGGAGAGAGAGATGAAGGGAGGGGGGAGAGGGGGACAAAGCTTCTCTGAAGTGGTGCAAAAACACCCCCTGGTCGAAAAACAAACTTAACTTTTCTTAACAATGTGCTCCTCTCCGTGGCTCTCCAGCCCTCTCAACCCTCGCCACCCTTCTCACTTCTATTTCCCTCCCCCTTACTTACCCCTTCATCCCCCTCCTCCTTCCCTTCCTCACTCTCTCTCTCATTTTGGGAAACATCCCCTTTACTAGCTTGGTTTTCATTTGTCTGCTGTCTGTGCGAGTTCTGGAAGGGGAGATAATGTAAGGCAGGACCTAGTTTAAAGGACACTGCCTCAGGGTATTCCCTGCCTCCCACTCTCTGTCTCTCTCTCTCTCTCTCTCACACACACACACACACACACACACACACACACACACACACACACCAGATAGATTACTTTATAAATAAGAATAAAACAAGTAATTAATTCTCTCAACTTCTGAGCTCACTAGCCTCCGGCCGTGTAAACGGAGAAGTGTAAATTGATACAATGTGCATCCTTTCAGATAAATAAATAGCACATTTGCAACACAAAAAGGTTGCCTTTTATGCAATCCTAATTTCCTGAACTGTTAAATTATATTTTTTGTCTCTGTGTGACTGTTAGACGGGAGCTCGCTATTTGTTGGGTTTCCGGCACCGAAACAGACAGACCCGGTTGCGGCAGTTTTTTTTCTCCGCTGGAGCGAAGTGGAAATGTTACGGAGGCGGAGATAGAACCAATTTAATGGCCTTCTCTTTCTAATAGCACCCAAAATAGAGTGGTAGTCTCACAAGACTGGAACTGATACACACTATTTGCATTGTAATGAGATGTCCTATTTCATCTGGAATGAACACGTTGCTGGTTTCAGTGTGACGTGCTGTCAAGCCGTGCCCTCATAACTTATACGACGGAATGTCTAAATACTGTATTGGCATGTACACATTTCAAGGTTGATTAATAATAATTAAACAATTATTTTTCTTTCTACTCTGTCCCCAATCCTCTGGCATTTGAACGTGTTCATTACCTGTACTGCAATATTGTGAATATTTCTCATTGTCATTGTGAATAAAGTTCCCCTCTTCAAAACAATACGACAGACTACATTACCCAGAGTAAGGCTTCATATCAGGAGTCCACCTACAGAGAGACACTGTAAACTGGCAAGGTACGAAACGCTGTCTTAATAAACCACACGTGGGAGTATAGATCACACTGTGCACTAAAGACCACTCTAAATCTTATTCTTCCACCTGGCCCACATCTCTTCCTCCCTCTTTCCCTCTCTTTTCCTCCCTCCTCCCCTCTCCCGCTCCCCCTCACAGCACAGGTCTGATGATGGAAAGGAA